TGAGGTATCTTAAACACTTTCGATTAGTTGAATCTGTGCAAATTCTTTTTTGGCAGGGATAGTTAAATATCGGCTGTTATTTTATATTGGCTAGCATACCTCTTTAAAGCTGCTAGCAAGGAATACGGGGATTAAGCAAAGATGCATTTCCTTTTAGAATTTCGAAGGTCTTTATGAATTTAGAGCATCCCTCAAGACGTTGGGTTCTCAAACAACTGAGTTCATATTTCGCACCAACGGCATGCACAAACCTTATCCTCCCTCCACCGTCTGGTCCAAAAGGAAATCATAGGGTTTGTTTTTCCTGTAACGCCGCCGTCAATTCATCAAAACAGCCAAGCGCTGTCCACCCCTCACCCTCTTCAACTCTAGGTCTAATTCATGGGCTTATCAAATAAACATGAAATGCGCCGCGGGCCTTTACTCTCCGTGGTCCACATCAACAACTCTGACGACAACCTAGATATCAGAAGTGCCTGGTCTGCTGACCGTATCAAACTCTGAAGAGCCTTAAGATTTGACGCAGCTAGACATACAACTTCAAGTGAGTCTTATCCGACTCAACAGCCAATCTATTCCCTGGTTCCCAAATACTGATGTCGGTAATTGTGTGATTCTAAGACTGCATACCGGAAAGACCAACGAGGAAGAGGAGTGTTTTCGGTATCTCCGTGGTGGGAAAAAAGCCTCGGAGATCTCATGCTCTCCTCGTTTAAACCATCTCCAAAATTTCAAAAGCAGTAAAGGAACGGAGAGCGTACTACTTGCACTGAGACGTACTTGTTTACAACTTGGTAAAAAGTTGCTCAATAAAACCTACGGGAAGTTTATTCGGTCTCATCTGGAGTATGCCGTACAGGCCGGGCATCCACAGCTCAAGAACGATTCCCAACTTTTTGAACGATTCAATGCGATAGCTACGGGGATGGTGAAGAATATTTATAAACTGTCTTAGGAAGCCACACTGGCTGAAATGAATTGGGTTCCTCTGAATCATAGGTACCTTCACAGTGACCTCATTCAGACAATTCGGATTTTTATAGACCGTGGTTATGCAGTGACTCGACCTCCGGCGACTCACCAGATATGAGGTCACGTGATTGCAAGTGTAGACCTACCTTTTGGACGGTCGCATGTTCCGCTGCGAAAGCTTGCCTCTCACGGTGGCCAATAAAACGCGTGCACAGTCCGTCTGGCCAATGTTTTTAAGCCGACTCACAAAGGACCTCACTGTGATGACGGCCTGCGCTCTCACCATTTCGGAGCAAGCCCCCCTTGCGGCTGCAAGTGCGGTCTGACAATCAACTTCCTTCTACCTATTCTCCATTCCTTATGTACTTCCGTCTGGCGCCTCACTTCTTCTCCTTACCACAAGGAACCGGGCCTTAAGATCGCAACCACTAGGGTTTTCCCCGTTTACGTCTGGGTCACGCAAACCGACTATTGTACATTTGACAGAACTAATGCTGCAAACACTGATGGTATTATGAGGAGGGGTTGGCAGATTTGAAAAATTCAGTTGACTCAGGTGTGACAATTTCGGCAGCCTCAATAGCTCAGTCGGCTAGAGTGTTGGCTGTACTCAAGCCTTCCATTGCTGGTGCGGGTTCGAATCCCAAAGAAGCCGTCACATTTTTCACAATAGGGTTACATGAATAGAGGCTACT